CGCACGTGGTGTGCGCTCTTTCCCGGTGGATTTGCCACCCGCCGGGCGGCTGCTCTGCTCGGGCTCTCCGTGGGGAGCGGGAGGGATCGCCTCACCGCTGTGGGTGCGCGGCCCCGCTGACAGCCCGCGCGTTACACAACCAGAACTTGGCTGAACCCAGACATGCCGGACCAGTTTGGATCCGCGTCCTCCCAGTAGGGAACCGTGAGCTTCAGCTATAGGTGCTCATGTTCGATGACCTCATGTGTAGGATTCATCGCAGACACTTGGGAGGATTGCGTTGTCACTTCTAACTCACGTTCGTTCCTGTCTGACAGATACGCCATGCTTGTGTCTTTGGTTCTGCTCTGTCAGCTACACGGCTTGATGTTTGCATTTCCTCGCTGCACAGGGACCTTAAATAGCTTGAAGCAACCCGAGCATAAAGATGGTAACTTACCTTTTAATGTAATTTTTGTTTTCCAAAACTGCATCTATCTGCTGAGAAATCTTTTAATGTGTGTAAATAGTTTTGGTTTGGGGTTTGGGGGTTTGAATTTTTTTTTTTTTTTTTTAACTTGATTAAAAAAATTAAGCTGTTTCATGCTTAGTTTTAGAATATTTGAATATCTTTTGCTGAAATGATCAATAATTGACTTGGGTGTCAATATTAACTATTAATCAGATCCAGTAATAAGTGCCAACTGGGATAACTGTGCTTTCTCTGTATCTCTAGGGTTATTATCATTAATATAACCAGAATGCTCTACGTAACATGAAGATTCCAAAAGGTTGAAGTCTACAGTATTTGAAAGGGTTTATTTGCTTGTTTTTAGAGATTGGTATTTTTCTCTCAATACCAGATCCCCTTAAAACATCTTGAAAGAGAAACATGGTACTGCTATTACAGCTCTTCACCTTGGAGGAAGTAGAGAGAACTGAGGTAAAAACAAATTTCCCAGAAGGGCTCAAGCACAATGGTGCTAAGCTGTGTGAAACTTCACATTTAAGCATTACAGCTTCAGAAAGGGATTTGTAACCTAGATGTCCTGTCCCCCCTCAGTGGAAAAGGAGTGCTGAAACCTTAAGACAGACTTTAAAAAAGCATCTCATTGAGCAGGAGGCCCCTTCAGGGCAGCATGTTGAGCAGAAAATGTGGCTAGCACAAAAATGCTTGAGGCAGGTTTTCATTAAAATCCATGGATCTCTGGGGCATAGAGCATCATGCCTGTGAGCTGGTGGCACAGAGTCTTCCCCTGACAACAGGCCCGGACCACTCCTTCCTCCAGGACAGAGCTGGAAAGAGAAGGGCCCAACTCTTTACCCACTAATTTAGCAAGTAGAACAGTTGCCCAGAGTATGGGGTACCTGCACCAAGAGATTACCCCTTCAGCATTTCCTGAGTGTCTTTTTACCAGCAGAGCTACTTTATTTAGCACATTGTGTGGGTGCATTTCTGAAATTAAAAGCTAGGCATCCTAAAACTGCATTTCCCATTTTGTTGAACCAAGGACTGCAGAACTGCATTCAATTCCCTCAGGTGTAGGAGAGAATTCAAACCCATCTTTCATTGTCCAAATACTTTCTTACTCACAGGTAATTATTAATTACTATCTTTAATTGCAGGTAATTTGGAGATGGAGATAGGTGTACTTTGACTGCGGCCTACAAAGTGCAAGAAGTGCAGATAAATGGATAAAGACTCTCTGAAAGAGAGAATTAGCATGTATCACTGGGGATTAGGGGTCCTAGGCTCCAGGCGGCTTGCCTGTGCATTCCACAGTAATTAAAATGCATTGATTATCTGAGTTAATTCGGAAGTATAGCTAATACTGCTTGCATAGTAAGGAATGAAATGCTACTGAGCAAAACTGAAGATCTCTGTTCCAGAAGGCTGAAGTAGTTCTTGCAATTGCACTGAGCCCAAAATTTTGATACTATTTTTTCCCCTGTAATTCTTTCCTATTTCCACATGTGGGTTTGGTTTGGTTTTTTAATTGGGTCCTTCTCTCTGGTTACTCTTAGATATAGCATAAATACTTGAAGCTTAGATTGTCCTTAGAATAACAGTTCTCCCTTCTTATACAACAGTATGTGCATATGTGTGGCTCCTTCAATATATACTATAATAGTATGTAAATGATATAAATATATACTGTAATATTCCTTCAATATACTATGGTATTCAGGACATAAGCAACCAATATGCACATTACACTGCATTTTTCTTCATTTTCAGAGAGCAAACCATTTTGAGATACCACTGCAAGATCTAACAGTAACTACTAGGTTAAAAATTCATGAATAATATGATAATCTAGCCAAACAAGCTAACAAGAACACAGAGCTAATTTGTAGCTGAATAACTTCATACTGAATCTCATCTCCTTTTTTAGCTGTCTGGCTTGGTATGTAACAATGCTGTTTCTACTTTACAATTGCAAAATTAATCCTTTACTCGTTTTGCTTAACCAAATAGTCTGAATTTCTTGGAATACAGATTAGGCTTTCACTGAATACCAAGCCAGAAAACTAGTTCTGTCATATATATATTTTTTTAAGAATCTGTAGGAAGAGCAGGCTAAAACTTGACTGTGGACGATGCCTGGTGAGAAAATGCATTCCTGTATTCCAAAGCCTTCTATAATTTCACTAATTCCCCTGGAATCTCACCTCACAACTTACTCCACAAGCCCTCATGGAACCTGTAAAATGCACAAAAGAAGAAAAGAATTAAATCTCTTCAGAAGTGCTCATAGTCAGAAAATTCCTATCACGGACTAATTTGAATTTGGCAATATGGCAGCGTTTACCTAAACTTGCTGCCTCAGTTGTGGAAAGAGAACAAAGGTAAAATGAACAGAACTCTGCTGCAATAACTTAAAATCCAAAATGTGTAAACAAGAATTGGAACTCACAGACACCAGAATATTGATAAAATGTATACTGAGGATTCCTTTTTTTCTTCTTCTTTTTCTGCCCTCTTGCTTCCTCCCTCCAGTAGGTCAGTGTCTTGCTGGGTTTGCATCTGACTGAATTTCTGCTTCATGTGACTATTACTTTGTTCTTAAGAGCTCCAGTAAAAAACTGATGCCCACGTTCCTGAAGGAATTAAAGCTATTCTTTGAAGGAGTAACACTAAATCTTGAACAACAGCTGTCCCGAGAATCAAATTTTCTTGGTCAGTATAAGGAATAACCAAAATGTTTAATGAGAAAGGAAAATACATCTATTTTATGTTGCCTACTTAGAAAGTTAGCAGCAAAGAAGGATAGAGACCTTTATGTTTCTTTTCCATGTATGTAGTTGAAAGATGTTATGGGAAGACGTGGTGTTAATGTGCTCCTTTAGGATAACCATTCCTTTAACTCAACAAATTTAGCTTTCCTAACTTGTTTTAAATCAACTTGATTTTCTTTTTATTAGTCTTCACATCAGAAAAGGAGGCAAATTTGTTCATTGGACGCCATCTTCTGTATAACAGATTTGATTTTGAAGCATTCACCCCGGATAACCTGGAAAGAGAATGCCTCGAGGAGCTGTGCAATTATGAAGAAGCCAGAGAAATTTTTGAAGACCCTGATAAAACGGTAGTTGTTCAAACTGAATTTAATATACTGAAGGAGGTTACCAACTAAATCATTACTGTATCTAAATACTGTAGCCCTGCTGAAAACAGCACTGGAAATAAGATGATTGCTTATTGTACTAGAAAAGTAGAAACCCCAATTAAATGGGGTCATTGCTGTAGATACACAGTGAATACACTTCAATATGTACAGTTGTCCTGAAGACTTTAGGTAAGGGCTCTAATTCTGCAAAACAAATATATATGAAGCTTCAGAAGTAGCACTTGTGGGTATACCTGTATCTGCTTTTAGAAGCTCATTAATCTTTTTAGTAACTTCTCGGCATGCAATTTGAATGTGTTCCCCATGCTCTAGGTATTAATTGGCTGATTGTGTCCTTGTATCATGCCATAGAAGTGTTTTACGAGAAAGGAATACGGAGCAAATCTGCAGCTCAGCTATTGCAGAGTACTCACACAGCATTATCTTCCAAATCGCTGCCTATATACAGCTTGGAAGAAACCTGGTATAAAAAAAGAGAAAAAATCATAAGAAACCTTTCAGCCCAATAATGGAATGCGATGATTGTCTGAAAACTGTTCTTGCTGCAGGCAGCAAGAATCTCTTTGTGATTCTAGGTGTGCTCTGCACTAACCTGCAGAAAGAGAAAGGAACACACTCCTCCCTGAAGGTGGAAACGTTCCAGTGCCATTGCTAGCATTTTCCTAAGAAAAAGGTGGAAGCATTAACTCGGGATCTTGATGCAGTCTTTTGCTGGGTAGCAGAAGTGGAGGTTACAGCTAATCACATCTAATGCATAACAGTCATGCAAGATAAAGGTTCTTCTCTTAAATTAATCCATTATTTTTCCTAGCTGGTATGAATTCAGATACTGTTCATGCAAATGTCTGATTCTTAAAAACTTGACTTTTCCTCAGTAATACTCTTCTGCAGGGATTTAAAAACAGTAATTCTAAGCCCTTTTATAGTGTCAGAATATATGCTGACTTCTACTGCAATCAGGCAGAAATAAGAGGTAACACTGGACAGGTAAATGTACTTTTCTCTTTTACCAGCTGGCATTTCTTCTTTGTGAAACTGTATTTTATACACAAACCTGAATGTACATGAAAAATATGGTGGGATAAGCAAGTTCAGCAGGAGTCGCTCCTATTTATGCCACTGTTAAATTTTGCCCACAGTACCATATTAAATGACATTATCAATAAGCCTGCTGATTATGTATGCCATAAATCTGATCCTTTGTGGTTTTATAGATGGATTTTTGGAAAGAGTATTCAACTAAAGGCCCTAAAATAAAACTAGGTAAGTCATCTTTTTATTCTTTGCTTATATTGCAGTATTTTGTGTTTGTTGTAATAGTACATTCTTAAAAACACACCATGCATTCAGTTACCAAAATCAGAATTGATCTTTTTACTGAAATTCTCTGTGAACTGTACAAGTTTATTGCATTATCTGATACAGTAAAACTCATTAAAGGGGCCCACAGTGGGATCCATTGTCAGTCTGTAGGTAAAAACATCATTTTCTTGCTCATTTCTTTTATCACACAATTGGTAAACTCTGCAGTAATTCCATGGCTGCTTTCTGTGGTTTTTGTTTGTTTCTTCCCCTTTCCTCCCCATTTCTGTAACAGTAATCTAAGAATGATTTAGGTTCAGAGTAGTCTTATGCCAGATGTTTTATTAAAAAATACTCAGTATGACCTAAGGGAAGATCTACAGCCTGATCAAGGTCACAGGTACATGAAATAGGATTTGGAAGGCATTAGAAGACAGACATCTCACCAGTTCTATGTACAGAAAAGGGAGTATCTACTCACTTTTGCTTTAAGCTCCATGTGAATGATACTCCTGGGTGGTACTGCACAGATAAAATGGCTTCTCACAGCAAGCTAGGCATTTGTGGAAGGGAACACAGCAAGTGTCCTATAGCACAGCAGAGTTAGTATTTTACACTGTATACTATGGGAAGAACACATAATGAAAATAACCAATGCTTTATCTTCAGGTGATGAGACACTACAAAAGATAAATGTTACAGGACTTCTCATCAGTCTTGTTGCTGCTGGAGTACTGTTAGTTATAACCGTACTGCTTATCTTCTACTGCTGCAAAAGTAGATGCAAATCAAGGCAACCACCAGGGTAAGGAATTCTGCTGATTAAAATAACCCCAAAAAACCAAACACCAAAACAAACTCTTGCATAAGACTGGAATTTAAAACTCATCATGGGTTGGTCAAAGTGTGTTCTCAGAGAATCCAGTGAGAGTTGTAGTTCTTGCTTTCCTAGCAGCAAAGTTAGATGAGCCCTAGCAGTAGTTACACTGAAGTTAATAGTACAAAACCGTAAATCAGCACTTGCATGGCTGATGTACCTTTGGGGATTTCTTTTTAGTGTGTGTTCTTGGTTCCGAAATATCCTTACTAAAAAGATGGAATCATTTTCATAGGTTGGGGCCTGCAGTGAAAAGTTTAATGTGTTCTGTCTGCTTTTTAAAGGAGATTGTGTGGTCTTCATGGCATGTGGTCTGCCTCAGGTGTGAAATGAAGCAGGTTGGAGGAAGTGCTTCTTCACTAATTCTCTAGCCCTGCTTGTTCCTTTATCCTAAACCTGAAAGGAATAGAAGAGGATTCTGTACTTCCTCTTCCCTATAAACTTCACATTACTGAGCTATTCTTACTGTGTGGTCTGGAGAGTCTTCGTGATCATTGAAGGCAAATGGTTTTTGTTGTGTGGTGGTGTTTTTTTGGGGTGGCTTTTTGTTGTTTGGTTGGTTTGGTGTTTTTTATTATTACAACTATGACTTTATATTCTCTCTTCCCTTTAAAAGAGAAGCTGCCACTTACACTGCTGTTAACTTTGTTTAGGTACTTGGATTATGTAAGAAACAGAAGACGGAATTCATCTAGCATCTTCAGAAGGCATGAAGAATTTTCTTTAAATCCACTTCCTCTTGGAATGGATGATTCAGGACTACCAACTTACGAGCAAGCAGTTACTTCAGATGGACAACACCACAACATGCCACCACCCCCTTATCCAGGGCCCCCAGTCTGGGCACGGGTGTTTAAGAAGTCTGTGTCACTTCCTGGTCCTTAGTCACCAGCCTCCTTTGGGGCGAGGGGGCATTACTGACACGTAACATACTTCTCTAGAAAACGTGTGCTACCTTGCATATTGCAAGGCAGTTCACAAAAATGTGAGAGATCTTTAGCACAACTAGGAGCATGTGAAGGTCCCGCTTGGGAAGAGAGGTGATCTGTTGCAAAGGCTGCAGGATTATTCTTTGCACAAGGTTACTGTTCCAAGAGGAAGGAATGCATAAAGAGGAGGTCTTGCACTGTCACCCTCTTGCACATGCACTCTGAGCCATCCCATCACACTATTGATGTTTCATTAATAGTTTCATCTTTCTCTTTTTTTTTCCTTTGGAAGGAACAGTATTTTAGTTGGGTTTATTGACACCAATTTTTTATGACTATTAATACTTTAAACTGCCCTAAGAAGTCTCCTTTGATATGTTCATTTAATTGCTATGTGAATTTTCTATTCGTTCTAGTAATAGATTTGAGTATGAAAATTATTTTATGATTTGATTTTTCAAATGTATATTACTGCTTCTGGATTACATAGGTTTGTTTTAGACACTGCTGGTTAACACACTCCTCAGTTTGTTGTGGTTTTGTGATTAATTTTGGATTAAAATGAATAATTAATTGAATGGCAAGCTAGCTATCCATTCAGACAAAGTACACTTTTATCAAATGGCTTTGATGTTCAGCACTAAATACCAGGTCAAAGAGAGTAAGTAAAGGGCTGTGGGTCAGGGGATGTTAAGCATAGAGCTAGAGACTTGTCCCTTGTTAAAAAAGCACTCAGGTTGCACAGGGAATGTTTCTTTTGCAGTTTAAAAATTTAAATGTTGAAAAAGACATGTAGCTTGCTGAAAAGGCCAAACTAACCCACAGAAGCACTTTGCATAAGTATGTACTGCCCTGCTGGGATGTCAAAATGATACCTTTAAGTAGAATGAAACGTCTATTAGATAAATAACCAGCTTACACAGAGCAACAGTCAAGAATTTCGTGGAGTTACTTGTTAACTGTGTCAACACAACTTCTGCATCTCCAGTTGTAGCCACCCTTAATTTTAGATCGTATTGATATTGACCCCAGCATTACGTGGCCTACAGATCTTGCTGAGCAAGTCATCCCAACCCTGCTGTCCCTTCACCTCCTAGTCAAATGGCATCATAGCAGAAAAGGCTGCAGGAAAACACATGAGGGGGGTCTCACAGTGTTCTCTTGTGTTACAGCAGCTGTATAGCTGGACACAGGCAATGAAGGTTTTAAGCAGCAACACATTCCTCCCATATAGACACGCACATTTGACCAGTGCACTAAATGGTATTTTAACTTGGTGCCCAAAACACATTTTGTATTATAAAGGTTGAATACTTATATGTAACATTTCACTGAGTTTTGTGGGGTTTTAACCTGCTAGAACCTACAGTGCTATGGAATGAGATGCTATGAGATTTTTAATCTCTAAACACTTTTACAAAGAAGAAAATGCTCTAAATCTTAGAATATAAAGAGTGAAAGTGCTACACCAGGAGGTCTTGCCCTTTGAAAAACACATACAACCCAGCTGATACCTGTGGACATGGGATTGTGTTCTTATTCCCAAGACTTCAGAATCAGACCTGGCTTTCTACAAGTTAGAAACCACTTTGCAGCTTCTTTCTTGTTGAGTGATAAGGGAATTCCCTTGTTGAGATAGCTTCAATTCACTCTTGCCCTACTTGTAAAAAGCATTCTGAAGTTCTTGGAGGTTACTATTCTGTGAGACCAAAATAAGTGAGTTGTGAGAGACCACTGTTAATAACCAAAATACAGAGTTACAATGAAGCTGTGGAAAATTTTAGCTATCAGTTTCAAATTTGTTAGTGTGCATCTTGAACTATAGAACACACTCTTCTATAGCTTCTTCCTATGACTCAAAAAGGACTAATGGACTGACAGGAGCACTTTCAAGGTGTCCTGGGTTCAGCTACAGCAGTCATTTTGTCTCCTTCCTAGTAGCTGGTGCAGTGCTGTGTTTTTGACTTTCAGTCTGGGAACAACGCTGATAACACCGATGGTTTTAGTTGTTGCTCAGTAATGTTTACTCTGACCAAGGACTTTCTCAGTCTCATGCTTTGCCAGAGAGGAGGGGAAGCCAGGAGGAAGCAGAGGCAGGACACCTGACCCGTTACAATGAAGCTGTGGAAAATTTTAGCTATCAATCAGTTTCAAATTTGTTAGTGTGCATCTTGAGCTATAGAACACACTCTTCTATAGCTTCTTCCTGGGACTCAAAAAGGACTAATGGACTGACAGGAGCACTTTCAAGGAAAGGGATTTCACAGGGCTTGTAAGAGTTCAGAGATTCCTTCATGTTACTAGCGATGTAGTACTAGCAAGTAGATCTGGCAAAGTCATGTTTTAAATGAACTACACAAATTGTACAGAGCCCTAATTAATGACTTGAAATTTGATTTGTGTCTACAAATCATTTGCTAATGACTCCATGCAATGCCAGCAAAAAGTCTTGTCCTTCATAACAGAAGACCTTAAGATAGTTTAAGTGCTGAACGTGGATGCTGTAGCGTTTTGGGCAGTAAACTGCACCTTCTGCAGGGTGCAACACTTCAAATTTACTCAAAGAATCAGCACTTTAGATACCCAAAATACACAGTGACTGACATTTAAATACTCGATGCACAAAACGTGAACATTCACAAGACATTCTGCTTATTACAGATGAGGAGCAAAGTTTAAAATTTAGTTGAACATAACATAAACTTACCTCTCCTTGTAAAGGGAGAAAATTCCATTAAATGGCAGCTGTTTGGGTTGAGTTTGTTTTAGTTCTTTCATAACACTGACTCCTGGCCCAAGACACTTTTGCCGTGTGTCTTGTCTCTTCCGCTTC